ATGAGCTCAGTTATTTTTGAAACACATAGTAAATAATTAGATAATTTATAATTCCTTATTATTACATAGTATTTTATAGTATTGTATATTACATACTATGTAAACAAACCCCCAATAATGTATTTATGTCGCCGATAGTGCGGAAATTACTTGGATAAACTTGATAATCGCTTGGTTGGGCCTTATAATGATTAGAAAAGAAAGATAAATCTCAGAATAAGATTATGTTAACTAATTTTCTAAATAATGCAAACTTCAATCATCTGCTTTGGGGAAAAAATGCAGTTAAGGGCTTTCTAAAGTAAAGAAGTTTCATTTTATCTTTCCAAATAACATCACAAAGTTACCCAGTAATAGGAAGTAGATGTTCTTCTAAGTTAATGAATATTATGCAGTTCAATTTTTTAAAATTCTGTATCATTGATTAATAATGTGCAGTTCAAATAAGGTGACTTTTGTATTTCTTGGTAGTAAAATTCATGTTTAGTAAATCAGAAGTCTGTTTGCTGTTTGAAAAAGTATTACCCTTAGAATTCTCAGCTATTTCACTGTGGCAGATATTTTGAAAACTAGTAACTCAGTATATTGTGGGTATTAAATTTTACTGATACTTTGACAACTTTACATAGTATGGTCTAAGAAATTATTCTACTATGCCTCTGGATGTTCCCACTAATTTATGTTTACTTATTTAATGATAATCTTTATAATTTTAGGTTTGACTATCATAGTGCTAAAAAACAAAAGCATAGAATAATTATGAATGTATGTCATAAAAAACCTTAGAAGACTCATAAATGACTATTCTAAAGTAAATAAAAGATATTCTCACCAATACTATTGGATTGGAAAGTAGCTAGTGGCTCTAAATTTCTACATGAGTTTTGTGCTGAAATGTATTTGATTCAAAAGAAAAAAAATGTTTTTAAAACAGGATCCTAGTAGGCTAGAGAATAGCCACAAAAGAAGCCAAATTTAATGGAAGTAGCTCAAGATTAAGCTTAAAAGGAAAACTTCCTAATGTTCCCACTGTCACCCCTTACTGACCCATTCATTATTCAGTTAGAATAAATCCCTTAAATTTGGGGGGACTTAGATTGCTAGTTTATGAAATGGGCTAATTCCATATTGCTATTTAATAGTTCTACTGGGACTTTAAAAAGAAACATTACAAATAAGTAGATTGTCATCTTTAAGCTGCTACTTCTAAAGAGATGTATTTTGTCTGCCTTAATGTAGGTGATTTTTAGGATGAATTCAATAAATTTGAAGTGTTTTTAGTCACTACTGTCTGTGGAAGACTGTTTTCTCTGTATGGTCGTCCCTTTTCTACAGAATTCTAAAGGAGGCAGGGCTCATTCGTGGCGCTTTCCCACTCCCAAGACCTCACGTGTTTACACCTCCCTGTCCCCAATAAGCCGAGTGAGCAGAGGCCGGCAGTTGGCACTTGATGGCTTAAAAGTTGCCATTCCTGTGCTCGAGTAGTGAGAAATTCAGTCTGAAGAAATGAAACATCATTTTACTCATGCAGGGAATAACTGGGTCTTGGAAATGTTCAGGGCTTGGTAATTAACAGGCTTGTATAGGTTTGTGTGGGCCAGTGTGCTAGCAACACAGCAACAAAACAGAGGTGTGAGAACTTTGGTCTTATCCAAAGTGGTTAAAATGGAGCAGGAACAGAAAGCAAGGCTTTTCTTCACCATAAAGGAACAGCAGTTAATATAGAGCCTTTTTCTAGGTGCTTAGGATGATCAGATGTTTCATGTGTAAGAATAGCTTCTCACGTTAAGTTAGTTCCCCATGTACCTTCTCCTTGAGGCCTGGGCCAGGTGGATTATGTCCCATTTTACAATGACCGATGCAGAATTACCACACTCTTTTATTGCTAAAACTGTCTCAGTGACTAAGTTCTTTAGGGCTCATGCATAGATAATGTGATAAAATAAAGGCATGTTGTAGATGAAAGAGTTTGACTCTCTTTGAGGTCTGATTTTCAGATTTTTCAACTGGTAACTTTCCCACTGTTTGAAATCCTGAACCCAATCCACATTTTAAAAATCTATACCTTAATATTCTCTATTTAAAAGGCAAAATGATAGTGATTTAGAACCTTCCCTTTTTCATTTGCTTGATTTTTTTTTTCCCTCTGTGTTTAAGGCAGTGTTCTGGTAATGGGTGTAGTTTGTCCTTATTTTTCAAGAGTTTGTCATTGAGTTAGGAAGCAAAAGATACTACAGGTCCTATCAGTAAATAGCAAATAAATTATATAGGCAGGGTTGTTAATAGATATTAAAGGGAGCAAGAGAACACTTCTAGCTGGGATGGTCAGGGAATACTGAGGACAGAAATGGAACTTTCATGAGGTTTGCAGAATGGGAAAACTGAGTAGCAGAGGACAAAGGGATGTTTCATTGGCTGAGGATCACAGAAGCAGGGGGTGACATAACATGTTCAGGGGACAGTGAGTGGATGATAGCATGGTATTTAGGAGCACACTCCAGAGCCAGACTGCCCAGATCCAGGACCGCCCTTCATTTTGTATTTGAACTTGGGCAGCTTTCTTAACCTCCCTTTGCCTCCGAGTAAAAAAGTGGTACTGATCATGCCTAAATCATAGGACTGTTGTAAGGATTTGAGAATAGTGCCAGCACAAGTTAAATATTAAAGAACTGCAATCAAGTATGATGATGATGACAGGGATGTTGGTGAGTGTAAAAGGCAAGATTATAAAGAAGATTGGAGTGAGTTTGCTGAGTGACCAGACGTCAGGACTGCACATAGTTCACAGTGAGGAGTTACTGGACCTTTATAAAAAAAAGAATACGTGATCAGACTAGTGTATTTGGGAAAAGAATCTAGAAGAAGAAGTTGAAGAAGAGACTGGCAGCAGAGAGACTGCTTTGGAGAATTGCAGAGATCTGGACTGGAGGGGATCAAAACAGGGCTCCAAGGCTAGAGGTGTGTACCGATTAGAAGGAAGGGACAGACCTTCTGTCCCTTACAAGGAAACACTTGTAATGAAATCGTTGTTAGCATCTGGAGACTGAGTGTCAGGGAAGCAGAGGGCCATGTCTGAGGAAGTGGGAAAATTCAAACCATAGAAGTTCTTAGGAAGAGCTGGCAATGTGTGCAAGAAGGTAAAAAACATTTTGCATGCCGTGAACATAAAGATAAGAGCAAGATTTGGCACTCTCCGGTGCTCCAAGAGAAATCAGACCTGGAAACCCACAGAGGCAGCAGTTGTGCTGTGTGAGTAAATGAGATTGATAAAAATGAGATTGGTAAATGATAAAAGGAAGAGAGTGCAAAAAGTGAATATTACCATGATTTTCTTTCCCATTTCTACAAGAGAGAGTGTGAGTTTAAGAGAATGAAAACATATTCCAAGTCCAGGTGACTCACTTGAAACATGGGCAGTAGTAGAGTTCCCTGGCCTGTAAAGTGCCATTTCACAGCTCCAGTGCCAGGCAGAGCACCGTAGATGTGCTAAGTGTTTATAAATGCCCGCTTTCTGGATCTATGACTAACAGGCTTCATTCTCGTGAAGGAGAATTATTCTCTCACTTATCCTAATTAATCTTACCCAGTTTTGACCACACCTTTAATATAGATTATTATACTGTCAATGTATATCTGTCAATATGTACACATGTGTACACACACACTTTGTTAATTTGTATTGTGTGTGCTTTTCTAAAAAGTTCTTCCATTTAAACCTCTTTACTGTACATTTTTTCTCTTTCCTTACATTTTACTTGCTTATGAGTAAGGAGCCGACCTTCTGTTGGTGTCAGTCCTTTATAGTCCTGCATTCGTTCACATATGTATTGCTTCCAGTTTATTTACTCATTCATTCATTCATTTATTCCAGACACAGTATTAATTGTGAGGGTAATGAATAAGACATAGTTCCTACCCTTAGTGAGCTTACTATGTACCTGGAGAAGAAGGCAGATAAGTGTAGTAGAAACAATAAAATCATTCACAGAAAATTATGGGAACATTGAAGAGAAACATTTCATTGGGATTATGAGGAGGGAGCAGCAGGGAGAGGTAATTCAAGGAGGATTTTTGGAGCAATTGATTTTTAGGCTGAATCTTATATAGTAAGCAGTGGTTACTAAATAAAGAGGAAGAAGCATAGAGAAATGACAGGAAAGACCCGTTCACAAGAAAAAGTGAGGCAGTTTGCTATTGCTGTAGCATATACCGAAAGGCAGAGAGTGCTGAAAGATGACACAGTGGAGCAGGCAGAGACCACTGGTGGACCTTGTATGCAGAGATTAGAAGTATATACTATATTCAGTGACTGAAGAACGGGAAAACTGTAAAACAGCGTCTGTGACCAGGCCATACTGAAGTCTTAGGTGGCAGTTGGGAGTATGAACTTGTGGAGGGTAAGACAGTTTGGTGACTAGTCCACATGGGAAACATTGAGGACGTAAACCAGGACAGTATTGTAGAAATGGAGATGAGGAGGCAAAACTAAGAATTATTGTGATTTAAAATGACCAGAACCCAGTATAACCACAGATGAGGGAGAAGAAGGTCCCAGGATGATTCTATTGTAGCTACCTTATATAACTGGACACCTGATTGCACAGTCTTCTTAGGTAATACAGGACGAAAGAGAATAGATAACAATAAAGAGTTGTTATTTTCAACCCACTGAAATTTTTAATGCACCTATGATATATTTCAAGTTAAATTTAATTAATGGTTAAAGATGCTGTGAATATGTACCCTAACCGTATCTCCTCTTGGAAGCAGAAGTATTTCTTTTTCCAAAACATGTTGTGAACACATCTGTCATAACTCTTGATGTTATAATAATCCTTGATTTTCCTTTTTATTTATCCCTGTAGTCAGTCTAGTGTTTGCTACGTAACCTCTTAAATGGGAGTGAGTGAATAGATTATTTTTCAAAGTATTATTTATTAGAAAAAGTTTGTATTTGGCTTACTCTCATTCTGATTGTTTTTTTGTGTTTTAACTCCTAGCACCTTCCACTGGAAGAATCTCAGGCGCAGCACCACCAGCCAACTCAGCTGTGGGGCAACCCCAGCCAAGCGACCAGGACACTTTAGTGCAAAGAGCTGAGCACATTCCAGCAGGGAAGCGCACTCCAATGTGCGCCCACTGTAACCAGGTTATCAGGTTGGTTGTTTTGGAAATTTCTTAGGAGTACTTAATACCAATGTTAATATTTTTAAATATTCTGAATCACAATTTTACTAGGGAAAATATTCTTGCCATATTTTTATATAAGCCGTTATTGAAGTAGATAAATATTAATACATTTCTTGGAATCTATTTTAATGAAAAATACTTCTGGGCCCTTGAAATGAGAACTAAAATACTATTTTTTTCAGTTTATTAATTTCTAAGAAAAAATAATGATTAATGTAGCCTATCAGAGAATAATAAAATTTTAAGCCTCGAAGGGATCCTGAAGATCATTTATCCAAACTTCATTATTACAAATTATAAGTGAGGACTTTTCATTTAAATGAAAAATAACTACTGACAGAACATAAAGAACTTTGAGTCCTATAGGGAAGAAGATTGGCTTTTTGAACCCCTAAGCACTGAAAAATATAATTACCTTCAGACTATACATAAATGCTTTAAATTTTAGATGAGATCATAACCTGCTTCTTTATATTTTTATCAAAGTATTGTCTCTTAAATTCCGAGTAGGAAAAAAGGCCCGGACCTTAAGTGAGTATACTGTACTGGCACTTAGTAAATCTCTGAGCATTCCGTACTAAGCAGCTTTGAAGATGTTATGAGGTAAAGGTGTGAATGGTGACTGTGGGATCCCACCAGCAGGTCCTCGTTGACACTCTGTGAGTCACCTTGTTGGCAGTAACAAATGATCAGTCGAAATGACTGCTCAAGCTCTCTCCTCATTTTTAATTTACCCTGTTTTGAAATAGTTGAAACAGAGGTTCTCTGAAGTTAAATGAGGTTAAGATGTTTCCCCTCCTCGATTACATAATTATTGCTTAGGATGATGTGTCTTGTTAATACTGAAACTGGAGCCCAAGCCTTAATACTTTCTTTAAAAATCAAGTATAAATACTCTTCTCCTGGACCCACTATTTAATAATAAATGAGTCGAGAACACAGCACACAATACATGATTAAAAATTAAACAACTTTATATTTTAAAGGTAGTCCATGTTTATTGTGACATTTCAAAAATATAGAAAAACTGAAAGCAAAAATAAAAGTTCATCCATAATTCTACTTCCTAAGTGAGCCACAGTTAATATTTTAAGTCACACTTTCAAGACACACACACTTGAGGACAGATTTTATTTGCAGAAATGGAATTATAATATACTTTTTGTAAACTTATTTTTCACTTAAATTGTAATATTGTCCACAGTGGGTGGTGTCTGCTTACTAAGAGTTAGCCAGCAGCAGCAGTAATAGTGGTTATGAGGAGAAGGAACTCAGCAGAGGTTCCCGCAGTCCTGCACCATAACCAGCACTCAGAGGCACTCAGTTTTCTGGCCGTAATATTGATTCAGTTGCAGTTATTTTTCTAAAAGTACTACTCTAGTGTGATATTGCTACTTTACCCTAGTAAATAAAACACTATACTTTTTTATTTTATAAAATTTATTGGTGTGACATTGGTTAATAGGGTCATACAGGTTCCAAGAGTATATTTCTATGATGCACAATCTGTATGTTGCGCTTGTGCCCACCAACCAAAGTCAAATCATCTTCTTTTACCATCTATTTGGCCCCTTCACCCTTTTCTAACACTCAGCCCCCTTCCCTCTGAAAACCACCACACTGTTGTCTGCGTCTGTGAGTTTCAGTTTTATATCCCACATGAGTTAATTCATATGGTCCTCAGCTTTTTCTGACTGACTTATTTCACTTAGCATAATAAAACACTTTTTAATTACTCACTATATTTAGTTGTTATATTTTTAGGTTTAATTTTTTATTTTTATTTATGGATTTGAGAGAGAGAGAAACATCAATTTCTTTTTCCACTTATTTATTCAGTGGTTGCTTCTTGTAAGTGCCTCTGATCAAGGATCAAACCCGCAACTCTAAGAACGTCATACAGGAATGACGCTCTAACCAACCGGGCCAGCCAGCCAGGGCTTTAGGTTTAATATTAATGAAATAAAATGTTCAAGCTTGTCACATTGCTTCTGTGAGTTACAGTACTTTGGTTAGGTAGACTGGTATTTAGGAATACAATGTGGTGGGCACAGATACCCTTTATGGAGACAGGAGTCACTGCTTCTTATGTAGCTGTTGTAAGCAAATAATTAGATAGGTTAGCAAAATGTCAAACCATTTCAGTTGCTTATTCATGTTGTCTGATTTATCAAATTCTGTGACACCCTGTAATCACTACTACCAGCACATCTAAAAAACTTACAATGGATAGAAATTATATCCCCACCCCTGCCTACCTTATTTCAGTTTTAATACTAGACCAGAATGAAATTTTAGTCCACGATATTCTTGTCATGTGAAATAAATTATGTTAATAACATGAATGGCCATCACTTATTGCTCCCTCATCTGTTAAATTTTATATTGCTCTGGATTACCCCAGCACTTGTTATCAGTTATACATTAAAGCTTCATTTATAAGGAAACTAATAGGAACAGGGATTAGTTCATGTCAAGATCTTCTAACAGTAATTAACGTAACACATTTGCCCGGTGCTCAAATGCTAAAGCAACTTGAATAGATTGTGGTCAGTTCCGAGACCTAGTCAAAGCATAATTCTAGTTCTTGGCCTCAAACACCAGTATCACTTACCAAAGCAAGGAGGCGTTAGATCAAGTGACATTCTCTTGTACACCTGTTTTAAAAACAAGCTGCACACAGACTTGATACTTTCAGTGTAGAGTATTGCAACCTGGCAAACTCTTAAGAAGTTTAAGATTTTAGAATTTATATTGTTTGTTTTCCAGAGTATAATTTATATTGTTTATTTTATATTTATTTTCTTTTTTAAATTTTATTTTAATCATTGTTCAAGTATAGTTTTCTGTCCTTTACTCCCATCCCAGCCCACCCACCCATCCCTTCCCACCTACCTCCCATTTCCAACCCCCCTAGTTTTTGTCCATGTGTCCTTTATATTTGTTCCTGTAAACCCTTCCCTATTTTATATTTATTTTCTAAATATTTTACATTTTCAAACATTTTTAAATAAATCCAAACTAAGGCAAAGTTTGTGTTTTATTTTATTTTTAGCAAAGTAAATTGTTTTTGGAAAAAACCTCAGAAACCTGTATCACTGAATATTAGTACTGAACTGGCTATCTCTTATAGAACATATTTAACTTAAAACTCTATAAATCATTTTATTTTGATCTAATACTTAAAATTTTTTGGTTTATTTGAATCCTGAAAAGATTGTGAATATTCTGCCTAAATTGTATTATTTAGGCACTACTTTGATTAGTTAGTTGCTTTTTATAGATGACTAGGGTGTTACAATTTAGGAAATTCTGCTGAAGCTTTGATTAAGTTTGCTATGAACGTTTCCAATCCATTTATGATAGAATTTCTTCCACTCTTTTACTCATGAGTAGATCAACTGTTGGAATGCTGGCATAATAGGGAATCAGAAAATCAGCCTAATATAGCCAGAATCACATTTTAGTTTCCATGGTAGAATGGGCTTATGAAAACGCTGGATTATTTCTTGACTGTTACATCTAGTGGCATTAAAATGGACTGACCACTTGTATTAATTATATGAAATTAAATGGACCATTCATGTTTAGCTCCTTAGCATCTTTGTGAAAGAAGTAAGGGATTTATGGTGCTTGAATTTCTTCTTAGATAGGGAATGCTTTTTAAAAAATAGCCGCATTACTATTGTTCTGCTTTTGCTTGCATTACAGCCCCAGAACAATCACGTTCAGTCAACCCATAGTTAATTCTAGTGAGAAAGAGAATTTTAACATTACTGAATTATTTCTTGCTCAGTGATTTTCATATTTTTCTCCTAAGGAGAGGTATCTCAGTTACCCCAAGGAGAGGCCAGCAGACTGTTTTGCCTGTCTCACCATCCATTCCAATCTCTGAACACTCCTTTATTAATAGGTTTTATTTATTTCCCCTTCTGGTTAAGATTTTACTTGAAAATAAAAGGTTTCTTGGTTTAATGTGTTAGTCCCTTAATTTAAGGAAATGACCAAAGATACAGAACAAGAGTTCAGATTTACAGTATTGAAAAATTGCTGTTTCCTTTGCCTAAATTCTCTCTCCTGAGATATTTGCATAGCTCACTTTCTTCTCCTTCAGGTCTTCACTCAATTATCAGAGTATTCCTGGCCACTCCCGGCTGCCCACATATAGTCTCCCTATCTCGCATCCCTGCTTCATTTTTATCCCCAGCATTTAAAATCTAACATACCATGTATTGTATTTATCTTTTTTGTTGTCTCTCTCCACGATACTAGAATGTAAGTTCCGTGCAAGCAGGGCTTTTTCTGGCTTTGTTTCTTGGTATCGTCTCTGCTCCCAGAACAGTGCCTGGCACTTACCATCACATTTAGTAAATGTTCAGTTGATGAATGAACTTTTAAAAAATATTTGAAGGAACACATGCTATTAGCCTTGCCAAACTGAAATTATATTCCACTTGTCTTATTATATAGAATCACATTTCTCCTGATTATCTAATTTTATAATAACCTCCATGTAAATTGACTGTAATTGCCTCCAGTTAACTTGTCTTTAAATTATCAATTAATATTACCTTTTTTAGAACTTGTTCTTTTATGCACTATTATGCTTGGGCTCATTTTACCTATGCATTTATTCTTAAGGAGCATGTCCTTCATTTCTTTCAAATTAAAAAAAGCTATTTATAAGTGGCCTTACCACCTTTTATTTTAATTTTTTTAACATGTTTATTTTTTTATTTTAATCATTGTTCAAGTACAGTTTTCTCCCTTTTACTCCCAATCCAGCCCACCCACCCAACCCTCCCCACTTTCCTCCCAATACCACCCTCCCCCTAGTTTTTGTCCATGTGTCCTTTAAATTTGTTCCTGTAAACCCTTCCCATTCTCCCCTGAAATTCCCTCTTCTCTCCCCTCTGGTCACTTTCAGCCAGGCAGTGAAAGACAAATACCATAGGATCTCCCCTTTA